CGGCTCTGCACAAGTTTAGAAGCAGAGACTTTCAGCTGTCCTCTGGATTTGTTTTTAACACCTAATCAAACATGCATGAAACACGGAAACGCGTCTCACCACGTCCTTCCTGCCTCCAAGTTTTGTCATGATCCTGGGTCTTTTGACCCAGCGTTTTAAGTTTGAGTTTATTTTGTTCATTAGGTTATTAGACTCCTTGTGTTTTCTTCCCCTGTATTTAAGTTTCCCTCACCCTTCGTCTTATGTTATCAAGTTTGTATTATCATGTCTGTCTCATGTTTCCTGTTTTATTTTGAAGGAGTCGTGTGTTCTTTGTTCATTGTATTTAGTTTCACTTCCCTTGTCCTGTCATTAGGCTCATGTCAGTCAGCTGTTCCTCCATGTGTTCCCACTTCCCCTAATCACCTCCTGTGTATTTAAGTCCTCTGTTTTCAGTGTGTGATTGTCAGGTCGTCTGTTGTCCACGCCATGTTTCCTATGCTTCCAAGTTCCTTGTCTAGGTTTTTCTTATTGTTTGTTTAGATTTCCCAGTTTAGGTTTGTGTTAATTTTGCTTCAGTTTGCCTTGCCCTTTGTTTGTACCTTTTTTACCAGCCATATTAAACGGCTCGCTTTTTGTTAACATTCAAGTTTTGTTCCCTGTTCCTTGGAGTCTGCATTTTGGGTCCTTTTTTCAATTCATACAGTCTGCCCTCGCCAGACTGTGACACCTTTAAACCCTGAATAGTTTCTTTTGGTGTGCATTAGTGTGGATATTAGTCACATGTTCATGTAAACAACAGTAACATCAAACCATTACGTGTGTGAGATGTGGTTTTGATGTCTGGGTTACAGTTAGGTTAGGGAAAGCAATGAGATGTCCTCACTAACACAGCTAAACGAGAATGTGTGTTTCTCCAGACACCAGCAAACGATGCTTCGCACGACGTGAAACTTCCATGTTAATCCAGACTCATCACGAGAACGTGGTCTGTGGACCATCTCAGAGCTTCCTGGAGTCCACAAACGTTTGCGTGGTGCTTCTTTGCTTTTTCCACCATCCAAAAACCAATAAACTGGTTCCTCCCACTCTGCAGGCCCCTCAGGTCACAGAGCGCTGGATCAGTTAAAGGTCCGCCCTGAGTCTGGGGCCGTCGCGATGCTGGAACAGGAAGTGTGGTGACGGCTTCCTGTACCCCTCTGCGTGCACGCAGCAGGGGCTGAGAGAAAGAGGGCGGCCCTGGGTGGGTGGTGTGGGCCCAGACTCCCGTCAGTCACAGTGATTGACTTTTCCACTTGAAGGACACAGGCCCCTCAGGTCACAGAGCGCTGGATCAGTTAAAGGTCCGCCCTGAGTCTGGGGCCGTCGCGATGCTGGAACAGGAAGTGTGGTGACGGCTTCCTGTACCCCTCTGCGTGCACGCAGCAGGGGCTGAGAGAAAGAGGGCGGCCCTGGGTGGGTGGTGTGGGCCCAGACTCCCGTCAGTCACAGTGATTGACTTTTCCACTTGAAGGACACAAGCGTCTTTCCTCCCTCTCCTCTGGGAAGCTTCAGCGTCTAACTCGAGCGTTTAAAAAGACAAAGTGTCAAAGCGCTAATCGACTTCTGAAAGCGCTGCTCTCACTTTCATTCTGTCGCTCTTCCCAAAATAAAGAGGGAGAGGGGAAGATACAGTTCTTTGGCAGGCGGGTTAATAACTCGCTTTGCTGTGGACGCCTTAAATTGGTTTCCATTGACACCTGCTATCTCTGAGCCGATAGCAGTGGGGACCTCATCAAGTGCAGACGCCGATGCCGCCGAGCAATAACGTCCATCCGGCGCCGTGTCAGAGCCGGACTTTTGTTCCGTAGCCGTCACTCGTCAGTGATGCTTCCCGATGATAAATCGTCCATTTCCATTCGTGCTGCTTTAATTACCTCGCCACGAGGTTGGGCTTATCTCACAGTAGACATTCAAATATTGAAATATTTGTCATTACCGGCCCTTTTTTGTCAGAGGAGGCAGAGAATCCCTGATGAACGTCTGCTGAAGGAGGAAACTCTGAATCAGCAGTTTGTGCTTTAGGTGGGGCTGCCTCCAGCCTCCTGCTGATGTCATCAGCTGCTCTTTATCTCCTCACACCCGCCCATCACCCTTCTGTGACACAAGAGCAGTCCTGTCACTTATACCACAGGTGTGTGTGAATGAGGGGGACACGAGGAGGAGCTGAGGACATGCAGGTGGTCCCAGCAGCAGGGGGTCGATCCTTCCTCTCAATGCTTTGCTGCTATTCTGTGTTTGTAGAGGCTGGAGGTCAGGAGAGGTTTGGAAGCGTGTTATTGGAGGGCGATGATGAAATCAGCAGAGACAGCTGCGGAGGAGGCGTGGACTGAGGCTGAGCACAGGGACGTGATTGGCTGCAGCTTCTATTCTCTCTTTTACTTTTTTCCATCGTGATTAAACTGCCGGCTGCTCTGTGCTCCTCAGCCTACACGCTGATGCAGGAGCTCTTCTTCTTCAGCCGCTGTAGTCTGAACTTTATGGGGGGGCATGAAGCGACAACAGTCTGGATCACATGAATAAGGTTCCTGACCTGCTGCAGTTCCTCTGACATCCAGCAGGGGCAGCAGTGAGTCAGCCCCCATAGGCCCTGTGTTTCCCTTCATAGCAGGGGCGGGTTTTGATGATCCATTTATCGATTACAATCGATTCTAGCTTGGATAACGCGATATCGATTCATTAAAACCCCGAATCTATTTTTAAATGTAAATTTATTTTGCCCCAAACGCCAGAATCTCAGGTTAAACCTCACAAAATTTCAACAACCACCAAACAGCTAAAACAGTGAATGAGAGCAGGAACACGGATTCTGCACAAAGACGTAAACACAAAGCGCCGACCCGAATCAGAATCAGTGAGATGTCGCCTTTCTCACCCGACGGCACGGACACGAGCTGAAAGCCGACAGCTCGCTGATTCTGATGTTTCGTTGGGTCGGCGCTTTGTGTTGACGTCTTCTTTGTGTTGACGTCTTCTTTGTGTTTGATTCTGAAGCTGCAGTTTTGTTGCTCTCCAAACAATATCAACCGAACCAGCAGCAAGAAAAGATCCAAACTACGCTTCAGCATCAGGTCATGTTCAGATGTTGAGTCATGGTTCTCTTCAGTTTTTGACTGCACAATATTTTCTGATCCGGACTCTCGACATCATGTGACCAATAATACAGGGAGCTATATTATAAGTATCATGTAATAATAGTGTGAGGTGACAGGTGACCCTGCCTTTACCTGTGGAAACAACACACTGAATCAGGTGTGCTTCAGCTGGGCTGTCGGTCGTCCTGCTGCTGATCTTCATGGATCTCAGCTCTTTCATCACATCTGTGTCACTGTTATGGGTTTAACTGATATGTCAAACAGTTTTTGTGTAACTGCTTGTGTGTGTCTGTGGAGCGAGGTGTACATCAGAGTGCTGTACTTTGTCCTTTCACCTGGGACGAGTCGTGCTCAGGTGATTCAAGCTGTCGCCCGGGGACTAGTTTACTGAACCGTGGCAACGCTTACTTCCTGTTTCCGCCCAAACGCCCCAAAGAGCTCAGCGCTCCGGAGCGTGACAGCGAAGCCGCTCTGATTGCTTTAAACGATGCTTCGTGGTGCTCGCAGCGGTCCTGGCTGGAAGGGCGATAAACGGCGAGCTTCATTAATGGATGAGCTGCGTTTGTCTCCTCGGGACAGGAAATGAACCCGGCCTCGCTGTCAGGCTCCTCTGACTCGTTAAAGCCGGACGCTTTTTGTTCCAGCTCCAAAACTTTTTTCTCTTATTGCAAACAAGCTGCATTTTCCACTGCAGTGGCTGCTGAAGAGCTCCGTCAGCATGTTTGCCTGCTGCGAGGATATCAGTGCTAATACGACTGCTGGCATCTCCTCCTTCCTCACAGAAACACTAATTGGTTTGGCGGCGGCTAATCTAATTGGACACCAAAGGTTAGTTATGTGAATCCACACGAAGCCGAGCCCTCCCCACAGCCGCTCTTATCTGCGGCTCAGGCAGGCTGAGGAGGACGTGCGGGGGGAGGCGGCCAAAGTCCTGCTCTATCGTTACTGGCAGGGCTTCAGGGGGAGGGGCTAACTGCAAAGACACACACAGGGAGAAGTTTGTTTCTTCTGATTTTCTTCTTCCTCTTTAAAAAGTGGATCAGTATTCCGGCCTTTTTCCACCGGGACATGTAAACCACGGAGCGCAGGCTCTCTGAGAGGCTGGCGGGGTTCAAGCGAACACTTGGAGGGGGGTTGAAGCATCAGGGAGTTCATTCTGAGTGGACCTGTTACACATTTCACACGTCCACACGAGTGACACTTGCAGTGGATATAATCTCATAAATAACCTGGATGTGCTCTGGGGGGCGTGTGTTCGGTGTGTGTAAACGCTGTGTTCGAGGTCAGCTGCAGCGTGCGCTGTTTCCACGCGGCAGCAGACAAGACGAAGCGTCTTTCACGGATTTCCTCGACATGTAAATCATTGAGTGTCTGCGAGTTTGCAGTGACGCGGCAACCTCTCTGACCACGGGCAGTGCTTCCATTGACCTCCACGTTTGGCTGATGGCCGGGCAGATGTGGTCTTATCGCCGACCTCCATCTTTTCTCCATGCAGCAGCTTATCTCCATGTTGGAGATAAAGACATGGAGAGGCCAGGCTCGCCGTCTGCAGACACAGAGCTCCATTCTGTTTGCTTTACTGCACATGTGCACGTATACGCGCATGTGTAGGTGACGCTGCAGCTCACAGGCTGACGTCACGTCTTTCGCCGCTCTCAGTCACTCAGAGAGCAGCTTCTCTGTGCTGGTGACCAGCCGGACGGCGTGCGTCGTGCAGCCGCTCAAGCGAGCTGAGCAGGACTTCCTCATAGTGAAGAAACATTCTTATATGGTCATCTTAAGGAGCGTCTTAAGAGGCAGCCAATCAGAAGAAAGCTGGATTTAAGGAAGGGGGAGGGGCCTTTTTTTAGACTAGGAAGTGATGGGCTGTAAGATAAAGAAGATTATTGTGAACAGTGAATCATGCAAAGCTGCTGTGAAGGGTCACACGAGAGCGTGTTTCAGGGTCGTCATGGATACACAGACGGCGTTTCTAAAAAAAATAACCAAATGTTTTATTTCATGTTGATACATTCTTGGACGACACCACAGAATAGTTGCATGAGTGGCCAAATGTAAATCTCTCCCACAACATTGGCACATAAGCAGCAAGGGCAACATGAATATACCAAGTACAAACAGTAGAAAACATACATGCTTCCACTTTTTAAAACGTGTTTTTCTTTTTTAAATATATATTCTCCGTGTGTTTCTCCTGCAGGGAATAAGAAACCGAACAAAGCCGCATTCTGCCGAGCGAGAACGTTTCCGAGGAACCGAAGAACGGACGATTCGGAGCAGACAGGTGGGATCGACTGTGGCACAGAACTTATTTTTCTGGTTCAACATCAAACATATCAGGCATGCATTGACAACCTCGACATCGACACCTTTAGTTGGTTTTTTTAGTCCATGAAATCAGCAGAGACTCAGCCTGGACCGAAGGAGGCTCCCTCGGGGTAAGGGTCTGCCCCTCACCCCCACCGCCGCCATCAAACACCTACAAACAGTGTGTGGAGAAGAACACGCATGTTGGGGAGGGAATGTTTCATCAGGTGACCACGAACGGCTTTAAAAACACTTAAAAACTGTTTTGGCTCCGTGTCACGGCCAGCTGAACGGTCAGATTTCAGACCTGCTGCTGTGTTTGTCAAAGCCTCTGAAAACGCCGTTTCTCCACAACACTGACGGTTTGCTTCATTCAGCTGATTCTCACCTGGAATAAACCTCGTTAATCTGCTCGTGCGAGGAACCATCTCCAGGCCGGCGTGACTGAGGTCCAAACAGGAAGCAGAGGGTAAAGCAGGTCTCGGCGCTCCCAGTCGTTCGTTTTAACTTTCAGAGCATCAGATCGTCGACATATAAGCAAATAAAAATGGAGCACGACTCTCCAAAAGGCTTCAACCTCTTTTACTCTGTTTCACTGTTTGGATTTCATCCGTTTTTTAAACTCTGATTTCCACCGTGAAGATTTTTTAATGACTAAACTGTGCTGGGTAAACGCTGTAGTAGCTGGTAAAAGAGGCTGAGGGTGGAGCTGCAGGGTGTGTGACCACGCAGCTCAGGTATGATATTTTTTAATCATGTTTATTAAAGAAGTCTATTTCAATGATTGTGTATTTTTGAAACGACCTCTTGTCTTTTTCAGGGGGACAATAAAACCATGTTTGGTCCCTGATTGATGGGAACAGGCCAAGTCCAAGAAAGAGTAAAATAAGTCCTCTTACTCCACCCGCAGGGGTGTGGGTGGAGTAAGAGGACTGGGGTCAGGACGGTGCAGGTACCGCTCCGAGGCTACACAGTGGCTAACTGCCAGCAGACACCCCCAGAGCGGGCACTGTAAAATTCTCTGCTGCCTTCAGCCCTGCAGCTGTTTCCTGCATGCAGCCCAGTGCATTCTGGGATATGTAGTCAGGAGCAAACGAGCCGAGCGAGTCATAAAAACTTTGTTTTCAGAGGCTTTTTTTTCTCACGTTTGCAGGATAAAAATGTGAGTCCAGGTGGCAGCGCGAGCGAAGCCCTCCAAATCTCCGAGCGAAGAAGAATATGGCTTCAATAAAACCGAGAAGCAAAGTACATCTGTCGTCGGCATGGCAACCGCAGCCGTCTTACAAACCAACAGAAATCAAACCAACGGAAAGAGGCCGACATATAAGCCATAAAGAACTACACACGCGGACAGGAAGGTGAGAACTTGCAGTTTGGAAGTACATAAAGAGACACGAGGGGGCGGGCTCACACTTCGTTTGACATCACCGGCGGCACGGAGCCCATCGGCGCCGCCCAGTCATCGCCGCCCGATGCATCCGCCGTGTTCGACCTCACAACCACTGGCATCACTTCAACAACAAAACAATTAGATTTTTATTTCTGGAGCTTTTCTCGACCTGGAGGGGTCAGAGTTCAGAGGTCGTCCCACCACGCTCCGCTTTGCACCTGAACGTCTCCGATGGGCGGTGAAGCACATGAGACCAAAAGAAGAGAAAGAAAAAGTCCTGCACGTCGCCGCTTTTCTCCCGTTGCTCGTCCTTCTTGCAGGAGATCAGACATCTCGCTCTGCAGTGACGGAGGAGCGCCGTTAGATCACGAGGTTGTTGTAGCTCACGTACTTCTTCTTAGCTGCTGGACCTGGGGACGGCAGGAGACACAGAGGTCAGATTCGGTCCTCACGGCTGCTTGAAGAGCAGAGATGAAGGTTAATGATGGAGCAGGGATGAGGTGATGACAGACGTTCGGGTAAGTAAGGCTTGAATTATGAACTCTCAGCAGGGAGGACGGGACGGTGAGAGGTCATAACTCAAAAGCATCTGCAGCAGAGGGAGAAACAAAAGGAGTGTGGGCTTATCTGAGGGTCGACCGATCAGCCGCTGCGGTGGGTCTAACTTTGAGCCACAGGTGGCGCTAAAGAGCTGAAGATGGAAAGATGGCAGCTGATGAAAAGACTGAATCTGTGAGGGATCATTCATCTGCACATGCTCAGTAGAGTCTTCACATCTTGGAAAAATGCGTTTAACCCTTTATTTACCATCTTAGAAGCAAATCTTCAAATGACTGCAAAATTCAAACGGTTTTAAATTTAAAGCCAAACTGACGAAAGACGTCCGTCGGGCCTGTAAATACACGCTGGTAAATAAAGAGTTCATGGATGTTTGAAAGGCTTGTGTACTTTTGTGTGTTTTTGTACTTGTACTCAGTGGGAACAGCCTGCCTCGTGTCTCCATGCCGTAGATTTCATGGATTACGCCCCCACAACAGCGCCGTCATTTCAACATGACGTGCCCACAGACCTGGAGAACACCTCCAGCTGCAGGTGTTTCACTAACAGCTCGCTGAGCCGTGAATCAAACGCGTGTTCAGGTGTCGGCCCGCGGTGGCAGTCCTACGACGAGCTTCAGCCTCTGATGGAGGACGGCAAACATGCTGCTGTACTGTTGGCTGTGTGACGCAAACATTGTTATTAGAGTTCATTGAAATATTCTGTGTTTTGCACCTGGAATAAACTCAAGGATCAGTCTCTAACATGTTCCTGCCTGTAACACTCGATCTCGCTCTCTTCATTAAAGCACTCGCCACGTTGCTCGTTTGTAGCACAAACCTGTAACATCTGTTCCCTGCTGTGGATTTATCTCTGAGTAAATATGGTGCGTTGCTGTGGGCGTGCGGTCCAGCCGAGCTCCTGCAGACACCTGATCCGTGTCGGTGCTGAAGCTCTGCAGAGTTAGCACACGGCTCCTGAATGACGCAGGAAGCTGAGCGTGACGTGTTCGAGGGGTTCAAGGTGAGCTGTGCAGCTCCACCACCTCCATATCTCCCTGCTGCAGCCCCCCCGCTGGCACTTGACCCTCAGCATTCGTCCGGTGACGAATGGCTGGGAACCAGGAGCCGCCATCAATCGTGGCAGATAAAAGAGAAAACGGCTGCGTTTGCATATTGAGCAGCCGCTCTGACTTTGTGTCTCATTCACATTCAGGAGCAACATCTCCAGCTCGTCTGACAGCGGTGGGCGGAGCCTGATGATAACCGAATAAATTAACTCAGTCAAAAAAAAGAAGACGTTTCTGTTCATTCTCCCCCCACCCCCCCGTCTGCAGTCAGACTGTTTCTGTGCAACACTCATCATAAACAGTCAGTCTGGCTATAATTAAGCCTAAAATAATGGTTCCAGATTAAATGATAATGAGTCTCCTTTAACGCAGCTGAAAGCGTCTCAGAAAACTCGCAGACCCCAAAAATCCGACGTCTGGGAAACACGTTTATTTCTGCTCCGTGCAGAGAGAGAGATTACTCGTTGAGGAGCATCGGTCAGGGAGCTGGTCGCTCTCGGCCTCATCGTTACAGAGGAGAGAAAGCGCCAGTCTGTATGACCTTTCACACACGCGTGTATACAAACCTGTGTCACACTTTTACACACAGGCTCAGCTCAATGACAGAATATCAACAGGAATAATTGATGAGCTTCACCTGTGGCTGCTCCCCCTGCTGGAAACACAAGATACTACCGCCGGTTTTCCTACAGGCTGTTTGGGGGTGTGGTCACATGAGGCCCACTAACGAGGATCTGATTACCGTCACGACGCTCAGAGATCCGCCGCGGTCCTGTCATGGATCAGTCGGCCATCTCTGGCCTCGGCGTGCTGCTGCACTGGGCTGTTTTCACAGCTGCTGACTCACAGACCGCGGAAGTGTTGGGAAGTCAAATCGCTCCAAAAATAAACGTTCATCTCAGCCTCTGCTGGCGGCGTGGAGAGAGAGGCGGCGAGGCCTCGTATCGCAGGATGGAGAGACAGCGAGAAAGCGGTCTTTGTGGTGGAATCAGCTGGAGGAGCGGGGAGGATGGCGACGGAGGTGAGGAGTAGGAGGAGGAAAGAGAGGATTTACAAAGTGAAGGAGGAGGGGAGCGCTGAGACGCTCGAGGCCGAATGAGAGGGGAGGCGGAGTGGCGAGCGTAGGCCGGCCCACAGATGGCTCTGCCCCCCCCCGGTGTGCCATAACTAACTACAGTGACTGATGTGCTGTAATTATGACGGGGCCTCGGGCTGCGCCACTGAGGTTTTCCCGCGGGGGTGTCATTATTTATGGTTACAGCCACGGCGCCTCGAGGAGCGTCCCGAGTTTTACTGAGAGCAGCTGAAGCTGATCCAGATTAATCAATCAGACCAGGACCCGGTTTTACCGCCACTGTTTCTCAGACTCTGGCGTCTCCTCTGCGATGTCTGCAGGACGAGGACAGGAGTGATTCTTATTGACAGACCCTGCAGACGACCGCCGTCACGGCCACTGAGGAACTCTGGACTCTGAAAGCTGATGTTTGCATTTGTACTCGTGGGCTTCACATCTGCCATCATGAAGAGCAGAGAGCTCAGCACGTTACAGAAACGCCACGCCTGCACAGGCGGCGTGCGAGCTGCAGTTACAGCCTCTTGTTCGAGCCGATACGCGTGCGTGGATCACGTTACCACCACGGCTGCTGATTCTGGACTTGGTGCCCATTTGTGTCTATATTTCTTTAATGCAGCTCCACAAATCAAGCATACGTTTTAAATCCGCGACCATACCACGAACCACCCGGCCGGTCAGTTGCGCGAACACACTAGAAGCCGCCGCCGAACCCACCGGCCTCTGTCAACGGACCAAAACGAGAAGCCCTCAACAAGTAGTTCCAACCATCGTCACTGGTCGCCACATAGTTCTCTCCCACAACGACACGCCCAACACCGCAGCACACTGTCTTTTCGGGTCACGTTACCACCACGGCTGCTGATTCTGGACTTGGTGCCCATTTGTGTCTATATTTCTTTAATGCAGCTCCACAAATCAAGCATACGTTTTAAATCCTGACGTCTGTGGTGTGGGAGGAGCTACATGCGCGCTTTCTCCTGGTGACATGGTGTATTAAATTAGCTCACTGAGGCAGAGCCGTCTCTGCGTCAGGGGTCTCGGGAGGGGCTTCAGAGGTTCAACAGGAAGATCCTGCACATCAGGAAACAACCAAACTTAGGCTCCTCGATCTGCCCGATCACTCGGTGTGGCGAAAGCCCGGTGGGCTGTGTCAGGGTCCCGGGTGAGGTGGCGGACACAGTGGTCTCACGGGGGCTCTGGGAGCTCTGGATTGGCCATGACTGGGACACTCTCTGAGCACGTGCAGAGCCCATAGCTGGATGAAGGCCTGCTGCGTCGGCTGGATGTTTCACAGCAGGTTCAACAGCTGCACACTTTACATCCTGATGGACTCAGGAGCGGCGCAGGAACCCCAGAGGTCACCGGGGGTCGGACGTGCAGTTAAAGCACCGGAGGACGGCCTTAAATCTGCCGCTCGGAGCGCCACGCTACAACCTCCTCGTGTAAAAGTTAAAGTCGGTTGAAAGAGGGCGGTAAAGAGCCGAGGACGTCACTTTTACATCCCCTCCCCACTCGGGTCTCTCTCCTCCTCCTCAGACCTCCAGGAGAAAATGGATCAAGGTCGGGACAGCAAAGCAGAAGCAGAAGATTAATTTGCTCTTACCTCTGATAAATTATGAAATTAGCCTGTGAGGGGGAGAAAAACATGATTTGGTGAGTGGTCCCAGAGGGAACCCCACTGTGAGCTGGTAATTTGATCACACAGACATGTAATTTCAACTTGTGCACTTTGTATTTCTGAGAAGCTGCGAGCCGAAGCTTTCCGCTGACTCTGCTATTACTGCGGCGTTTCTCAGCGGCGTCAGGAGCGCATCCTCGTCCTGCACCTGCTCGTTCCCACCTCGCGTTCCTTTAGCGTCACTCAGAGCAGCTGTGATCGAGTTCAGGACGTCTCCGAGGACATTTAGGTGTCTCCAGAATGGCTGACTTCCTGTTAGGACTCGTGTAGCTGCAGCCTGTGAGCTCACGCTGAAGCATTAATGACCTCGAGCTCAGTTTGGTCTGCTGTCAGCCGCCTCTTCCTGTCATGTGATGGTGATTGGCTCCGCCCACAGGGAACTTCCGGTCCTTTGTCAGGCTGCGCCTGCGGGTGATGAAACCTGTGACGAGGTGACATCAGCTCGCCACGAAAGCAGAAAAAATGTTGTAAACGTCGTTTCTGGCTCAGATGGATTTCTGCTCCATGCACTGGAGGACAGAGCAGAGCATGCCGTGCAGCCCCGTTCACTCCAGCATCATCAGTCTGAATGATGTCACTGATGATGTCACAGAGACGTTTCTTGGTTTGATATGTTCAGCTGATTTGTTCTGAGAGGAGAACGATCAGAGCGACGGTCCATCGTCGACACGTCTGAGTGTGAACCCATACCGGCGAGTTTACTGTTTGAAAACGATTCGTCACTTTGATGAAGGAATGACTGATAAACCTGTTGTTTCAGCGTCTCTGTGGAACTAAAGTTACATGTGGCCCAGAGTTAGTGAGCAGCAGCCCTCCCAGAAAAGACGCCTAGGCCTGGTGGCGAGGTGGTCGGGGTGGCTGCGGGGCTCACGGAGCTCCACCCTGGGAGCGGTGTTACCTCACGATGGTAAAGGTTAAATATCTCTTATCTCACACTCTGCTGGAGCAGCTTTGCATGAGTCACAGTTCAAAACGCCCCGGACTTTGGTGCAGCTCGCTAGTTCATCCTCTGTCTCTTTAAGGCCACCTTCTTCTGATTGGCCAGCGTTAGGAAGCCTGCTGAGGGGCAGCGCTCAGCGTGAGCCGTACTGCGTGTGCTTCTGTTTCAGATGGATTATTCTTACAGACATTTAGCTCATGGATTAAAACTGTGGGCGTGTTCAGTTAATGACAGGAATCAGCAGAGTCGTCCTCTTCAGCCTTTACATTAAATCCATGTCTCAGATTTCTCAGTATTAACTGGAGCTCATTCAAACACAGACTCCCTGCTTTCTGTGAGATCAGCTGCTAATCCGCCCCACAGATCCTGAAAATCAGACTTTTCATGTATTTCAGAAGTTTGGAGAGACGCTAACGAGGACAACGAGGCCGTTAATGTATCCTAACGAGCCAATCATCACGCAGCTTTAGACCCACGCTGGTGTTCAGCATATAAACGTTAGTTCTTGGAGACAGGGCTGCAAAAATAAAAGCCGGTTTGTATTCAGAGACACGATTAGCACATGCACTCATGCATTTGTAAAGGAACAGTTCAACATTTAATAAAACCCTCCTCTCCTTCCTGCTGCTTCCTGCTAAACGTAGCTTAGCAGCTGATGATCACATGCATCAGACTTTATTTTCATCGCTTCATTCATTCAGCCTGAAGCACAGAAACTGTGAGTGTCTGCCTGAAAGCGGCGATCAGGACGTCCAAACACACGCCGGCTCCACAGACTCGTCACAGGCAGATTTAAACATTGTGTTCAGGGTCAACGTTTCACCTCCGGGAACAACAGGGAACAAGTCTGTGACATCTTCAGTTTTATGCTCAAATTTCAAAGAAACGTTTTAGCCGCAGAATTTTATTTATGATCTGAACAAAACACCTGAGGTTTGGGTTTATTCCAGATCATTCGAAGTACCAAAAATGAATCTGATAAAATGGTTTAACTCTCAGAAAGCGCTCTCTTTTCTGTGAGAGAAACAGAACCTTTGAGACGTCACTCGAGGTGTTTGGATGAGCTCTTCTAACTGTGCGGTGTCAGGTACTTACTGCTGGGGTCGACGTTCTCGCACAGCTCCGTCTTGGCCTCTCCGTTGGGCCGGTCACTGGCCTTGTGTGACAGCCGGGATGACATGGTGGCGGCCGTGACGACGGCCTTGAAGGATCGTTTCCTCTTCTGCACGTTGAGCTCCGGGTGGAAGATGATGACGTAGACTTTGGGCATGTAGAGCATGCCGAGGGCCACGGACGCGCTGAGGTTCATGGAGATGGTCAGCGTGGTGGTCTGGATGTACAGCTGGTGGGAGAGAGAGGGGAGAACGGGGTTAGTTAATGGTTTCATCTCAGAGGTGTTTTGTTCCAGTAACACTGTGAGGAACCTTGGAGTCATTTTTGACCAGGACATGTCCTTCAACGCACATATTAAACAAATATGTAAGACTGCTTTCTTCCATTTGTGCAACATCTCTAAAGTTAGAAATATCCTGTCTCAGAGTGACGCTGAAAAACTAGTTCATGCATTTATTACTTCCAGGCTGGACGACTGTAATTCATTATTATCAGGAAGTCCTAAAAACTCCCTGAAAAGCCTTCAGCTAATCCAAAATGCTGCAGCAAGAGTCCTGACAGGGACTAGAAAGAGAGAGCAGATTTCTCCTGTTTTGGCTTCCTGTTAAATCCAGAATTCAAAATCCTGCTCCTCACATACAAGGTCTTAAATAATCAGGCCCCATCTTATCTTAATGACCTTGTAGTACCATATCACCCTATTAGAGCACTTCGCTCTCGCTCTGCAGGCCTACTTGTTGTTCCTAGAGTATTTAAAAGTAGAATGGGAGGCAGAGCCTTCAGTTTTCAGGCCCCTCTTCTGTGGAACCAGCTTCCAGTTTGGATTCAGGAGACAGACACTATCTCTACTTTCAAGATTAGGCTTCAAACTTTCCTTTTTGCTAAAGCATATAGTTAGGGCTGGACCAGGTGACCCTGAATCCTCCCTTAGTTATGCTGCAATAGACGTAGGCTGCCGGGGATTCCCATGATGCACTGGGTGTTTCTTCCTCACTATGTGTTAACAGACCTCTCTGCACTGAATCATACTTGTTATCAATCTCTGTCTCTCTTAACAGCCTGTTCAGAGACTCCTGAACGAGCAGAGGTTCATCCATCTCCACTGCTGCTGACCTCTGACCTTTAACCCTTTAGAGCTGTGTAGTAGGTACCGTCCTGGTGACGGCTGTATTTCAGTCACGCCGCTCGCTCGTGTCAGCGGCGGTAAAGAGACTCGGGAAGCTCGCCTCACTCAGAAGCAAACTCTCGACACTTTTTATGAGCCAGTGAAGGATTGTGTTTTATTACCCGCCGTGTTCTCGACCCTCGCCTGCAGCAGAGAGCGGCAGCCGGCCGAGCCACGCCATTAATGTTTTATGCAGTGTGTATATTGCCCCTGTGTCCGAAGCCGTGGCCCCGTGAACCCAATAGAGGGCCGATACGGGCCCGGGAAGAATGCATAAAGAGGCACGGCTGTGCTGTAATGGGCTTCCCAGAGTGGCTTTCACTGAGTTCAGCCCACTGTCTTTATGTGTTATGGCCCTGCTGTCACAGTCTGAGCGACGCCATTAACGGGGAGAAGTCACAGCAGGCGGGGTGGGGCTGAGAGTTAGGGGAGCAGCGGGGAGAATATTCAGACCCGCAGAAAGGCTGCTCGCTTCCTGCGCCACATCAGCAAGAAACTACGCGGCGCTCTGAAGGAACACGAGGCCCTGCACCACCACCTGACGCAGGTTTAATGAGCCCGCGGCGTTTACCTGCATGACAGTCTGCACGCACGTCTTCTTCTACAAAGCTGTGGCAGCAGACACACCTGCACGTGTCCAGCTCATCTACAGTATCTTCATCCCTGCAGTCCCCACCTGCAGCTCGTGTGCACAGGTGAGGGTTCCTGCCATCTGTCAGCACCTCGTGTGCGAAAGACACCCTGACATACACGAGCTCCTCCCTGATGACCACGGTCTCGGGGTCGGAGACCTCCGCAGGTGCGAGCTGGACACACAGATGTGTTTGCTTCACCACAAGGGGGGGAGACCTCCGCAGGTGCGAGCTGGACACACAGATGTGTTTGCTTCGTTACAAAGAGGTGACGGACGTCAGAAACGGGCAGCGAGAGCAGCGTCTGTCTGCTCCAAGCAGACGAAGGCAAACATCAGCGAGGAGGCGGAGTCAGTGGTTTGTTTAAAGCCTGTGTGAGCTGCTGGCCCTCAGCTGTGACAGTCCACTCTGAGCTCCCGTGGAGGAACACCTGCTCTGACAGGTGTGCGCACGATCGTGCAGTCAGAGGTCTGTGCGAGGCTGATGTGAATCAGCGATAAGATGACACGACTGATAGAGCCCAAACAGCAGCGCTCTTATCAGCTCACCTGCTTTAATGTCTATCTGTGAGGAGGCGGAGCTTGAGCTGAGTGATCAGCAGGTCTCTGTGGATGCAGACTGAAGTGAGCCCTCCAGACGTCATCGCTCATATACAGTCTGTGCTTGTAACTGTAGGTGGCGCTGCTCTGTTGCAGCTGTTTGGCTCTTTGTCTGTACACATCTGTCTGAGTGCTGCACATCTGGCAGCTTTTCAGCCGAGCTGGAGTGACCCTCCTCCTGAGCAGACAGCCTCAGAGCCTCTTCCAGCTTCACTTTGTGTTTCTATAATTCTGCTTCACTTCTCTTGCCTCCTATTTCCTTTGCACTTCTTCCCTTTCTGTCGCAGTCTTCATCCTTCCTCGCCTCCTTGCTTCCCTGTGACTCGTGGCGTCCCTGTGCTGTTTTCCTGACACGATGAAGGTCGTTTTCTTTCTTCGGCTGAAATGCTTGCGGCGTCCTTACGATGTTCTCACATGACTCCTGTTACTGCCGTCTTCTCGCCGTCACGTGAGGCCAAGCGCTCGGCTGCTCCTGCGGCTCTGATTGGACAATTGGTAGTAAACAACGAGTCTGGCCCAGCATGCTGCAGACAGACTCCTCCCCCCTCATTTAAAGCCCTCCCCCCAATGAAAATGTGCTCCTCTTCTCTGAAACCACATCAAAGATGGCCGTCTCACTGAGGCGGCGTCAGGCAGCCTGCCGTTTCTGTGTGAGGCACAAAGGTGGAGGTCGACTCCATCAGGTGCAAACGCTGAAACAGACTCCAACTTATCTACGTCAGGCCCAGCTGCGGTCCGGTCGGCGCCTGGCGAAATCATCCGCACACTTCTGTGTTTTATGGTTCACAGGGAAACGTTTCTCGTCTCGGCGCCACATCCGTGTCACCGTGCGGCGTCCTGGGAGGCGTTTCGATAAAGTTTTGACACGCTGTTGGTTTGCTGATGTCCTCTGCTGCTGTAGCGCGGCGCTCTGTGAGGCTCTTCATTTCCATTTGTGGCGGATTTATTGTTGGATTGCTTCTCATTTTATTGACTCGCTCTCAGCGCACAGACTGGTTCATTTATCCAAATAATTGGACGCTCGTGATGCTCTTTGAACCTCTGACCTGCCTGAGAGGCCGTACGCATAAAGTTTGATCAAGTGAAAAATTAAAAGTGTGTGTAAACACAAAGTGCAGACGGAGGCTCTTCATCATGTCCATAAAAGCTGCTCTTTAATAAACCTTCATCACTGAGGTCTCACCCGTCGTTTCCACCATCTGTGGCGGTGAAGCGACGCTCACTCAGCTCAGCTAAGCGTGTCAGAGCGCGCAGGCGCGTGGAGGAAAACCATCGACGGCAGGAACAGCGAGTTCAGAGTTCACGAAGAGATCAGAGCACCAGGTAGAAACCGCAGAGCCGAGACCCGGACAGGTGTGTGCACCTGAGTGTCCCTCAGAGCCGAACAATACGAGCGAGGAGGATTCAGGAAACCTCTCAAAGCAGGACAGGAAGTGAAACTTTGACCTTGGAAAGACGTCACCTCAGACGTGAAGCTGGACGTCTTCGTGGTTGCGGTCGTCGTAGTGTGTCAGAAGTTACGGTCTGAGCTTCACAGCATCAGGAAGCTGCTGCTGATACTTCTTCAGGACTTTGTTCAAAGTTTAAGGGAAACTTTGCCAAAACTTTTATTTGCAGGAAGCTTTCGGTCTGAGTGACGTCCACAGATGTTTCCTGTATGGACCGGCGCACCCGCAGACACGGCTGCGCCACATTGCAAAAACCCACGAAGTTGAAGCGACACCAAATCACGGACGGTGTCGGCAGCGAGCATAAAGTAGGGGCGATGCTCGGAGCTCAAACCTCAGACTGATGTTTGTCCTGCCCTGGAGGTGTTTCACCTTCTGAGCTCTTCTTCACGGACATTCGGTGGCGTTAGGTGGAGGAAACAGTCGCAGCCTCGTCGTAGACCCTGCTGCACTCTTACTATGTGAAGTCAGGTTTCGCTTTGCGTCACCTGTGTGAAAACACGTCGTTCGCCAACAAGTCGCCTGATTCGCCCTTTGCTTCCCGGCTCTGTGTCAAAGTCAGGCTGAACCAACTCAGTGAAGCTGAGCTCCAACTGCCTTCAAAGGGCATAAATAAGCTCCTCCCCCATATCTGATTGGTGGCGATGTCGGGTGTACGTGGTGTTTAAGGCTCAGTTTTTAGCAGAGTTAAATATTTGCAGGTTCACCTAAACTGACATCAGTCTGCTGCAAACGCACCATGTGGATGAGGAGTGGTCATGTGACGAGGCCTGCAGCTAGTCACATGACCCTGTCCTGATCCTCCCCGCCTCTCAGGCCTCAAAGGCGCATTTTAACAATTGATGGCAGGAACGTGGTCATGATTCTGCCGTGTGCCTGAGGCCCGGAGCGAGCTGTGTTCAGGTCATTCCAAAGGTAAGACAGTCCCCGCCTTTGAGGACGTTTTGGACCTCCCAGCCACCGTAGCACATGACTCCTCTGACGACAGATTTTAAAGTAGAAACTGCTGGGTGCTGTAAACTCTTCAAAAACACTGCTTCCTTGATTACTCCGGCTGGAGCTGCTCTTTATGCGCTCAATAAAAACCGCTGCCACAGTTTCTGCTCGCCACCTCCAGACGCTGATAAAAGTTATGCTAACGCTGTTTTAGCGCCGTACACAGAAATAAAATGGTGCACAGTGGAGAGCGATGAAACGAGAGAAATGAAGCATCACTGCCGCAGAGCTGGAGACAGTTAAGGGTGGAGAAGGGAGAGGCGAGGGTGGAGAGAGAGGTGCGTGAGAGGAGGTGGAGGTTCAGTGGGCGTGAGCGTAAACGACGAAGGAACGCGAGACGAGCCAAGGAGGGCGGGGACGAGGAGAGGCTGCAAAGTTTAGAAGAACATCAGACACACGAGGAAGATCGACGAGACGTTCAGTTTGGATGGAGGGAGGAGGAGGTGGTGTTAGAGGTGGAGGCAGGGCGGAAGTGAGTCGAGAGTCACAGTGTTTGTTCCTAATGTTTTGTCTTCTTGGTCTGAGCTGG